GATGCAGAAGGAAAGGAAATGGTTTCTTCATGGTTTTTCCATGAACTCTTTGTAAATGTGATCGAGAACCGACTTACTATCCGTTTTTATTGCTTGCCAGACATAAAAAAGTTTTTTGTAACGAATAATTACGGATGAAAAGTGGATCTATTTTAACAATCCTAAAAAAATATGAGTTGATTCCGATCAACCATCGACATTTACAACAAAACGCAACATTCACGGTCATGAAGTTCTCTTGTATATCTCTTGTATATCTGTTGGGACTAAGAAGAAGTGCTATACGAGTTATTATTCTCGGGATAAGTAGACACAGAAGATGTTGTTACAGTCAACAATGACGTTTGAACGAAACTATGAAGGAAAAAAGCTCTCACATAGTTATGAATCGATGTACAGTCATCTTTATATCATTGCCAGGCTGCTGTTTTGACTAAAGAAACGTTATTCAAATTGAGAAGTTCTGCTATACACCCAACATGCTCTCCAGACATCGCCCTATCTGATTTTCATCCGTTTAAATCAATTTAGGGCGGTTTATCTGATACACGGTTCCGAAATGCTGAGGAAGTGCGAAAATGAATCGATGAATGGATTGTCCCAAAAGATAAGTCATTTTATTGGATCAAACTATTGTTCGAAAGATGGCAAAAAGTTATTGATAGCAACGGCCAAAATACTTTGATTAAAATATCATGTGTCATACGAACTTTTGCAAGCGCTACACTTACTTAAGTATATATTTTTTGAGGAATATTTATATTTACCGTGACAGAGTGAGCACATTTCATCACATCACTGCGGCTTTCATTTTTTAAGCTTTCAGAGAGGGAACGCGCGCGATTTCAATACACACGGATGCTCTTATCATATACTGCCTGTTATAGTCGCGATCGTGCATTAAAGATTTGAATATAGATCGTGCATAATAAGATTTTTTCTATTACGTAATTGCTATAAATATTTTGTGGTGGATCATATTTCATCTAATTTGCATCAATGCTAGTTCGCGCGAGATGATATAATGTAGATAAGACGACAGAAAATGAAAACATGTTGTTTGATAAAATGTACAATATTTTTAGCAGCGGAAGAATAATGTGCGAATGATATATTGGAAATACGCAGAAGTGGGCGGCAAACAAATTAGAATATTGCTGGTGGTGTGAGGAAGACTTTTGTGTTAACTTTTTATCGATTTTTATTCCGAACGTTTCGAACGTGAAGGAATATTTAGTGTTTATTTCTATATCGATATTAAATTATAATATTCCATTAGAGTCGTCGTATTACGCTATTAGGCGTTTGTGAATCTTTGAATGACATCATTGATCAGAGAAAAAAGTATTCCTCGAATACATTATAATTTCTCAGAAAAAATATATCATTAGGCCTTTTTCCTCAGATAATCCTAGAAATGTCTACAAATGGTATGTTTGTATTAAATGGTAGCCTTTTCAAGTGTGCAACGTTTTGCAAATTACAGAGCATTTTTTTCTGGTGTTATTAAGTGAATCGCTCCTAGGAAACCGATTAAGAAACTACGCTGCGAGCAGTGAATGCCATTTCGAGTACTCAAAGTAGATTCCACACGCAGAAGAATCTGTACTAAATATTTTTTTTACATTATATTTGTGGTAAAAAAGAATCTCTTTCGTTTACGTTTACATAATTTGTCGTTTACGTTTACATAATTTTTACATATACTCATATGCAAATGTATTTGTTCCTATAATGAAATTTTTTATTTGGTTCCCAAGTGACAGAAAATTCAGTTACATTAATACATATAGTAAAAGTTGGCAGAATCAATTATTTCTACTGTTCTTTAACAGATTTCAAAATCAAGCAAGCAGGGAATTCAAAGCCATCTTTAACAGATTTAAAAATCTTGCTTGCTTAATTTTGTAAATTGTTAGAAAATATTAGAAATAAAATGTTTTGACGATAGCTAACTAGCCCCGGTCCCTTTTACGACATATACTATCTCGGGCTATATTATTGAATTTGTTATTTGAAGTTTTTCATTCTGAAAATGTGATCTAGTTAGCAATAAAATTTACTTTAAGGCTACATTCGGCATTAATCGATTAAAATTAAAGGTACATTTTTTTAAATCAATTAAAAAAATCATGAAAAACTTGACTGGTTAATAATTAATTTCATTAACCGATTATACGTGATTACATCAATTGACGATTGATTAATTTTGGTTATTGATTTGTCGATTATTTTTGTCAAAGGAAATTTTGATCGATTAATCTCCAACACTGCTTTAAGGCAGCACGAAAGTAAATTTTCTCCCACGATATTTCTTCGGGCGATTACTTCCTTTTTTCCTTTAGTGGGACTTGTTTGCACGTAAGAACGTTTTGTCAAGTTTATTATATTTTATTGAATAGTTAATACGCGTTGATACAATTTAATAGAGAAGTCGGAAAAGAGAAGGTATATTGAAAATTCAATAGAATATACATAAAAGAACGTTTTATGTAGAACATTCTTCTGGAAGTAATCTGTCTTTCATTTTTACGCATTACTGAAAGTACGTATTATTTATCCACAAGTATCCAAATTGGCAAAGCGCATCTTAGAAATTGTATTGTCTTCGTAATGTTGACGGTTCCTGATTGGACCGCTGCAATTATAAAAAAAAGATGAATGAGAAACTCATTTTTTTCAGCTATAGCACGTAATTTTTTATAGTGCTATTTATTGACATTAATATATACGATTTTAATAATGCTATTCAAAAGTTAATTTTTTGTTAATTATAATACTTATATATTATACAGAATGTTCCAACAACATTCGGTTAAACGTTAACACTATATTTTAGAAATAAAAACAAGCAAATATGTTTAATAAACATGCATCCAAAAATTAACTAATAATGAGTAATATCAGTTTTGATCAGTATCTAAAATTATTTTTTTAAATATGTAAAAAGAAAGATTTAGCTTGCTACTAAAATGAATGAACTGAGGACGATATCGGTCGCTTAAAACAATTATATAGCTTGAGAAAGTTTATTCTCGCGTGTGTGTGTTAGTTTTGCGTCTTAAGCGCCTATATTGTACTGAATGGTCATTTTCCGGACTCTATTATTGCAAAAAAATTAAGAACTGATATTTGACTTAAGTCACTAATTTGTCATAAATATTTTCATAAATCTTCTCTTACATTTTACAGGAGTTTGATGCTAATTTATTTGCAATTATATTGTTATATTATTGTTATTTGCAGCTATTATTTTCTTCTTATTGTGTGCTATTATTTGTTATTATTTGCACTTACATGTTCATAAATTTAAATTAATATAATTTGTTAATGATTGTTTTTCTCGGGCTTATATTTATTAATCCCTTTTCTTTGTTTTCATTTCTAAAATATAGCGTTAACGTGAGGCCGAATGAGATAGCTTGCTTTATATTTGCATACGTTGTATCGAACATATCGCTAGATATTCAAAATTTGTACTGATATTTTATAATTATAAACTTCTTAACAGGTTAAAATTAATATCGAATGTGTCCCGAAGTGATAAGAAACGTGACAGATAGGTGCCAAGAGAATCAGTTACCTTCTTTATCGCATCTGAAAAATATTTCATTCGCTTGTTGCAACTTAACCGGGTCGGAAATCCATTCTTGAAGTTTCCTTAAAAATGCTTCCGGACTGTATGCGAGATTTGAGTACAGAATCTGGAAACGGTAACCCCGTAATGTAATTTCATGATATTATATACACATCATTTGCAATTTATATAACGCTTTTCTTAATATTTACTAATATTTGCTGTACTTTTCTGATATAAATAAACATTTGTCATAATTTTCCAACAAAATTCTGTTGGTCCTATTATAATATAATACTTTCTTTTCATTATTTTACTATGTAGAACATATCGAAATAATTCAATTCTTCAATTTCGGTATAATTCATATTCATTATATATTAGTATATTTTTATTAATATGCACACACAATTTTAGTTATAAATTAGATAAACGTCCGATTTTCAAATTTTTTGACAATAAACCGATCATTTTTTGCAATAGAGATTTACTTGGTTTGGCTTAGTGCCGTGTCCTTCGCGGAATTGTTTTCGGTGTTTCGTGAACATTTCAATTCGCTTCTTTTAAAAAGCGGAGCAATCTAAATCAAAATATTCACGAAACAGTAGAAAGAAATCGGCAGCAATACTTCGAAAGCCTGAACAAACATTTCTCTATACCATGGAAGACTCAAATATCAGAATAGAAATCTACATTGGCGACTAAAAATAGCGGCTAGTTGATAGACAAAACTTTGTTTTCAAAAATTAAATCGAAATTTTGATTGATTGAGATATATATACCTCGCCATCTAAGGTCGACGCGCAAATGATCATGTCGATTCGGAGCTCATCTGAAAGGAAAGAAAACGAGAAATTGAGTTTTAGAAGGACATTAACATAGAATTGTTTTAAAGAAATTATTCTATGCTTCTTGTTTAGAAAGTTGTTATCACCGCGAAGATAGTATAATTTTTCAAACTATCTTCTTCCAAATGTTTTCGATTTTAATACTCACGAGTGGCTACACCGTACATGCGAGCGCATGTTTCATAGTCCTTTCTGAATCTTCGTACATCACTCAAATCGCAGTAAACCACGTTCTAGAATTCGAGAAAATTAATTGCACTGAAATAAACGTTATTCGTTGCATGGTACTCACTACTGCGATTAGCGCGCTTAAAATTATCACGATGGTTTTCATTCTGACTCTTCAGGCTACTCGATCGCAGTTTCCAGGCAGTAGCAACTGTAACACGCGTGAACACTGCGAACGCATTGAAGCTGCCATCGCGCTTTTTATAGGACATTAAGAGTTATTTAAACATTAGTCCGTTGTATTCCATCTCATACCGTCTGATTTACATTAATGCAAACTAGCGACAGTCGCATTAATCATGATGAAGTCGCAAAAAAAAGTGATAGCAGTCGCGATAGCAGTCTTACGCAAGTCTGTGTGTGAAAAATACTTGCGATACAATTCAGGCTGCGTGACATTTCGTAATTTTTGGTGTTTACTTTCCGGTAAAAATTCTTACGATTGACTTCGAAGTGTTCCCAAAATGTTTACTTTGAATCTTTATGTGTCAAAATCATTGAGAGTCAAAAGTTTTGCAAGTTAGAACGCTGTAAGAGTGACGTGACCTTCGAATGTGTGGAGGTAGCACGATCGGATTTACATCTGTTTTTATTTCATGTATGTAAAATGTTCTACTGAAAGTAATCTGTTTCCCATTTTCATTATTTATTTTTTACTTTTAAGCGTATTATTGAAAATATGCATTATTGATTAATGATAATTGATATAAGCTCCAAACCGCACAATAGAAATCGTATTGACTTTCCAATGCCGACGGCTTCTGCTTCAATCACTGCAATGATAAAAAGAAAATAAATGAGAGACTAATCTTTTATAGATATAGTATGTAATTTTTTATCGTGTGCCAATCATTAATATTAATATGTGAGATTTTAATCAAGCTGCATTTAAGATTATATTTTTTGCCTAATTATAATATTTTATATATTATATGAATTACACTAATCTAAATCTGAACAAGTAACCCAATATAATTGCAAATAAATTAGAATCAAACTCATATAAAATGTAAGAAGAGCAAACATTTGTAATAAATATATTGTCAATCACTTATAAGTCACACAGACACAAAAATACACACACAAATAACACTTCTCTTCGCTATGGAAGAATCCTATCACAAAGTGGCTATACAGTACGCATGTCTGAAACGCAATTGACATACATTCGGGTAAACAAATTTTACGAATCGTATATTACATTATTTCTAGTGAACTACTAAAATAATTATTTCTAGTGAACTACTAAAATAATTATTTCTAGTGAACTACTAAAATAATTTTCAGTAACTAGAGATATTTCAATGGCAATTTAGATACTTTTTTACATATTTTAGAAAATAATTTTAGATACCGTAAAAAACTAATATTACTCCTTCAAATACTCTAAAATTTTTATATTATTCCTTAAATTTGGTTTACAAATCCACGTTTATTACATTTTTTTATTTGCTTTTCATCTATAAAATATAATGTTAACGTTTGCTCGAATATTTATGGGATATAACTAGTATATTTATATATTTTATACTTCGTCAGATATTCAAAGTCTATACTGACATTTGATATTTTGGTTTTTAATAGGTGAAAATTAATATCGAGTGCATCGAAGCGATAAGAAATGACAAATAGGCGTCAGTAAAATTGGTTACCTTCTTTATCGCATTTGATATATATTTCATTCGTTCGTTGCATTTTAACCGGATCGAGAATCAACTTTCGAACTGTTTTCATAGCTCCTTCTGGACTGTATACACCATTTGAGAATAGAATCTGGAAACGGTAATTCTGTGATGTAATATCACATCCACACTGTTTAAAATTCATGCAACGCATTTCTTAATATCTGTAATGCTTTCCTGATATAATTAAATTAAAATAATTTTGTATATAACGAAACAGCCACATTATAATAAAACATTTCCTTTATTTTATTACACGTTTGTACTGAATATAATAAAACATTTAATATATTAATTCCAGAATAACTTATATTCATTACATATTAACCCAAACAACACAAAACATCTCAGCAATGTCTCCAGAATATTACACTTGCAATGTTAAATATTCTGGAGATAATCTCAAAGATATTCTGGAAATGTCTCTGCAATGTCTTATGTCACCAACTTGTAATATTGTTGAGATATTCTGGAAGCATTGCAGGGACATTCTGAAATATTGCTGGGTAATTCTGGAAATATTGAAACCTTGTAGAAAAAAATAATTTTATGATATATCTTCAACTCACACGTCAGTTTATGTTGATTTTAAATGAAATTTAGGTCTTTTAATTGATTTCTCACTATTTTTACACCAGAAAATTTACTCAGTACTAATTGGACGCAAAACTCGAGAACCTGCAGATACCTTCAGGTTTCTAGTGTATCACCTTAGCTGCTGCGTTACTTCTTCAACTGATACTAAGTGTTTCTTATTGTCCTCATATGCAACCAAAGCAGTAATTTTAATTTTTTTATAATATTATTTAGTAGAACTACAAAAATAAACTATTTAGTCCAAATATTTAATATAATAAAAGAAAAGTCAGAGATATTCTGTCGATACTTGTATCTCTTCACGTGCCATGGATAGATCGTTAAAAGAATTTTGTGATATCATAATTTTTTTTCAAAAATAATATTTCATGCTTGTTTATTTCCTAACAGCACAGATGTTCAGGGAACATCCAGAATACATCCTGAGGAAGTCCTGAGGACGTCCTTAGAAGATCTTGTGTTTTCTGGGTTGCAATTTAATGTTAAATAATTAGCCGCATTTTCATGGAAATGACAATTGAAAATATTCAATATGGTCAGAATAAATTTATAATAATTCTAATTTCCAATAATAAAGCGTTCTAATGAATAGTTTTTCGATGATAAGTCTTTCATAGGACGCCAATTTGTAAAATCTTTTTCACAAGAAGAATTCTACCGAAATTTCACTATAACCCGTTACCGCGCTCCGTTCTTCGGCGATCCAGACGGTATGGGACAAAATTCTGAAAAGTAGTGCTGAGATCTTGATTGCTGAGAAATATTGTAAAAATATTTGCAAGATTTTATATGAAGACATTATAGAAGCGGTTTAATATATTTTTGATGTATCATGTATTTGAAATATTCTGGGCAAACGCTAATAAAAAACGTACGAGCATCCATTAAAAAATCTCATAAGATACACTTTATAGAAAATGATAGAAATCTTATATGTTTATTAAATGAGTAAATTTTTACTAGGATATCCATATAAAATATAGTTTTTCTCCAAACAATTCATTGATTAGATTAATTTTTAAAAGATTTTAAGTAATAATGTGTCGTGGTTTGAAATAGAGTAGTTTCTATTAAATTTTTTTATAAATATATATACAAATATATTTTGAATAATTTCTATAATGTTTCAAAATTATCTCACATATTAGGACCTTAACTTAGTTTCCGCCCGCAAATGTTAGATGGCAATGCAAACAGTTCTAGTAGTCATTACTAACGAAACAGGTAGTTTGTGATTAATTTCGACATTTCTCGATAACATTCAGTCAGCATACACAATTATTTTCCTAAACAACAATTTCTTTTGCTTTGTGAAAAATGGAACGCGATAAAGTGTTTTTTCGACATGTGCTTTTGCACTATTTTGATTTGAAAAAAA